ACTACCAGACCAAACATCCAATGGAGTTTTACCTCCTGTCGTAACAGTCGATAACCTATGACTAAGATGACCCAAATATGTCGAAGTCTTAACACCAGAATCAATGCTCGACATCAAATACCGTTCCTCCTCCAATAAGGAACAGCTCACCAAATCTGTCATCTCATCTTGTTGTCCCAAGATTTTTTTTCATCGAAGTATCTCAAAATGCCGTGAGCTCGACTCAAATGTAGAAACAGGTCCCTCTTGTACCTCCTACCAAAATCAGAATGAAGTACCTTTACCTTTCTGCCAATCTCACACTTCTTCAATTTGTTGGAGACTAGTAGGATTTTATCCAATCGAGATTTGGTTGTAACCCAAGTATGCCTAGAACAACCACCTACAAAGAAAACCAAACATCTATTACCTCTCAATGATGCCTCCTTGGAAGGCCTCCAAATACCCACGTGAACTCTATCGAAAAGACCTTCATGCGGTGAATAGAGGTGCCAAACTTCACATCGGTCTTCTTGCTTACATCAAAAGGTTCACTGGACTTCAAATTGCAGGTCGATGCACCCTTTTCCAAATCAATACTGGAATGACCAAGCCTCAAATGCCGCAGTCTAGTCGAATCAATAGAAATCGTCAGCTTTCCACCTGTCACTGTATTCCTAATTAAATAGTACATGTTATTCTTCCTGATGCCCTTCATCAAAATATGAGAATCTTCCACAATCTCAAGAACCATGTCCTCGATACGAACTCTAAAACCCTCTCCAACCAAAGCTCTAATCGAGATCAAGCTCTTCCTCAAAGAAGGAACATATCTCACACCATGTAACTCTCTAATTGTCCCGTCATACGTCTTGATGTGAATTCTTCCTATCCCAAGGATATAACATGCACGCTTGTCACCCATGTACACCACACCACTCTCCAGCTTCTCAAAACTAACGAACCATTCCCTTCTAGGGTACACATGATAGGTCGCACCACTATTCAACATCCACTCGGATTCCTCCGAATAGCAACCTGTGAGACTGATAGAAAGTGAATAAACAGATGAGTCAAAAAGATTACCATCCGATATAATGATGTTTGTTTCTGATGATGATTGCTTCCCTTTTCCCTTCTGCTTATTCTTCATCCAATCACTGAGGTTTGGACAATCTTTCTTCTAATGATCAGTCTCTTTACACCAAGCACACTGATCTTTGCTAACTGTAGGATGCCCTACTCTAGACTGTGATTTCTCATTCTTCCGGTTTAGATTCTTCCCTCTTACAATCAATGCCTCTGCTGTTTTGTCACTTGTAGACTCCTTATCATTCTTTCGAAGCTGATAATTCACAAGTATAACGGTGACCTCACTATACGAAATGGACGTCTTCTCATTAATTAGGGTAAGAACAAAGGTCTCATATTCTTCATTTAGTAAATAACTCAACAACAAGAAAGCTTTGTGCTCATCCTCTATCATAACATCCACATTCGCCAAATCTGCAAGAAGCTTCGTGTAGTAGTTCATGTGATCACTAATTGAGGTTTCCTTCTTCAATTGGAAGCGATAAAGTCTCATCTTCAAATGTAAGCGATTTTTCACACTCTTAGTCATATACTTTCTCTCAAGGGTCTCCCAAATCTTCTTAGCCGAAGTCTCATTCATCACATCATACTTTAAATCTTGAGTCAAACAAGACTTTATCACATCACACGTCGTTCTGTTCATCTTCTTCCAAACCTTCTCATCAATATCATCTGGCTTGCCATCCAATTTTAAAGTATCTTTCAAATTTTACACGTTCAGCTCATCCAAAACTACACATCTTCATAATCTAAAATTGTTTGTGCCATTAAACTTCTCTACATCTATCTTCGTAGAGTCGATATTTAAATTTTGAATGATCTTCACGCCATAAGCACCACCCTTAACACCCGAAGTACCTTCTTTCCCAGTCATCTTCCTTAACACACCAACAACCAATGCGGAACAAACTGAAGAATAGATCCAAAACTGAGAAAAGATAGAAATTTTACCAAAAGGATCCCACCTTTAACTCCAAATGAAGCCCTAGCTGAACTTTCAAAGTGATCTACTCATCCAAAAGTCCAATCGTAGCCCGAGCTCTGATATCACTTGTTGTGCACGGAAGCTACTAGGTGTGCACCGAGGAACCAAACCAAACACCGAGAGAGAAGGCAATTCAAATAAAACAATAATAGTACAAGCTCAAACATAAAGTTTAATGTGGTTCGACAAATTACCTACGTTCACGGGGCAAGAAGGGGAGGGGTTTACACTATAGAGAAAGACAATACAAAATAGAGATTACAAGATCACTCAAACTAACTTCTTAAACTAAACCCACAAATCTCTCACAAAACCCTCAAAAAATTTGCTCAGAAAAGAACTCTCTTTTCTGTGATCAAAACTCTCCTTCAAGCTACCTTAAAAGTGATCAAGATGATCCAATAAACCCTAAACAAATCATGTTCCTATTTATATAAAACAGGAAACCCAAACAGTGTAGGAAACCGAAGCAGGCCCAGACCCGACTCGCGGTTGATCGCTGAACCTATCGCGGTTGACCAGATCCAACGACCAAAACCAAAAAAACACTACAGGGTTTTGCCAGTCAACCGTCGCGCCACTTACGGTCGACCACGAAAAGTCTAGAGACTTTCCCTATGCTTTGAATGCTGGTACCCAAATCAAATTTTGTGCCTTGATAGTGACGGTGGCACAATTCTCACTCATTCGAAATGGAGGGCTACATTAATGGGTGAGGAGGTGCAGTGAATGATATACAACCAGTTTGGGAATTGAGTAGTGAGGGGATTATGTCACCTTTCACTACCATATTAAATTTGTCTAATATTTCATTCTTCCATCGAAATGTAGGCCATTGATTGAGATAGTTTGGAGGGCCCTTAGGGATGGAATTTTAGTTTCTGACTTAGGTTTTTGTATTAGAACCTCCTCCTATATATATATACTAATATATATATATATATATATATATATAGTATATATATATATAGTATATATTATATATATATATATTATAACTATATATTATATATATATTATATATATATATATATATATATATGAGTTAAAATGGTTATCCTTGTCAATAGGAGGGGATTTGCGCTGCTTGAGCCTCTAAAATCACGTCTGATTAAGCAGACATGTGTGGATGATAACTCCATTGAACTTGGATATATAGGTATTCTAAAACCCCAACAGCCAAAGTTTGGGGTAATATCCGTCGTTGTTTTTGTTCGGCTCGCATCGAGCCTATGTTGAAAGTTCTAGTTCATTCCAGAACCACGTTATAAAATTGATATGAGTGGATGAAAGGGTCAAACGAGCGACGGGTTTGCAGCCGCAAACCTTGGTGTGTTAGTGATTTTAGAATATTCGTAGATGAAAGTTTTCACGGAAGCGGATGCATCCAGCAATGTCCGCTCATTGCTAGTTGTGATTAGAGGCGGTATAAGGAGGAAATGCCCTTCGCTATGATAATGGATTCAATATCAAAACCGTTAAAAATTATAACGAGTGGACGGAGTGAACGGGTCAAACGACGACATAGTTGTATCACCCCAACTTGGTGTGTTTGGGGTTTAGAATATGTAGAGTGACAAAGTTCAACGGAGTGGATTCATCCATAATGTTGCTCCAAAATCATGGTGATTTTAGAGTGCGTCAAGAAGAGGAAATCCCCTCTCTATGACTTAAGGATACCACTGTTAATCTCCATATATATATATTCATTATTATTAATATATGATATATATATATATAGGTTACATATTAGTTATATATTATATTATATATATTTTAGGGTATAATATCTAGGTATATAATTAATAGTATTAGTATATACTAAGAGGTGAATATTATAGTATATATAAATATATTTATATATATATTATATATAATAATTATATATATATATGAGATTAATGGGTATCTTGTCATAGGAGGGGATTTCCTCGGCTATGACGCCTCTAAAACAATCATGGGATTGAGGGCTGATATCATTATGGATGATCGCGCTCCGTTGAACTTGATCTACTTATTCTAAAACTCCAACACCAACCAAGTTTGGGGTGAATCAGTGCGTCGTTTTGACCCTGCCATTCGAGCCATGTGAAAAGTTGCTATTCATGTGCAAAACCGTTAAATTGATACGAGTGGATAAAGGGTCAAAGCGACGAGCAGAATTCACCCGCAAACTTGGTGTGTTTGGGGTTTTAGAATATGTAGTATCAGTTAATAGGAGCGGATTGCTATCCATAATGTCGCTCATCATGTGGATTTTAGAGGCGTCAAGGAGGAAATCGCCCTCCTATGAGCAAGGACACCCCCTTTAATATATATTAGTTTCTATGAAGTATATAGTATATATATAATATATATATATATAATTTAGTATATATATATTGTTATATATTAGTATGGAGAAACTGAATTAAGAATATTGAAATATATATATAATATACTATATTTTATATATACCAGGATGCATATTGTGGCTACTATAGTATATTATATATAGTATATAATATATATATAGTATATTATATATTATATATATATATATAATATTATATAATATATGGAAAAATGATTAAAAATATTGAAATATGTACAGTATACATATACAATGCAAGAGCGGTATAAATAAATTATAACTTCTCAAATTTCATTTTGCCCATTAGTTCAAAATATCCATAAATCTCTGAAATAAAAAAAGGGTGTTAGATCTGTACTCGCATATTAATACACATATTCAAATGTTTTGATAGTGTTGAAATCTAGAAGATTAAATGAATGTGGACATTACTTGAATATGGATAATTAATTATGTGACTCTTCATTAGCCCATGACCTTTAGTCTTCTTATTATCCATCTATATAATGTATGTCATGGACTACAAAATGTAAGTGAGAAATAAAGAATGAATAAAATTACAATTTCTCTTGTCTCTTGTCTATTTCTTGTTTCATTTATTCTGTATATTACAACACGTTATCAGCACGAATGGCTCTAGCCGGTTCGTGATTATCGCTTCGTGGTAATAGATTTTTCGGTGTACATCTTCTGTAAGGTAATAATACATTCGGACTTTTATCTTTGTTTGTTTATATATATATATAAAAGACCCCCAAGCTCCTGGTGGTTTTCTGAAATTTACCCTTATTAGTTTGTGATGATTTATCTTGCTTTTGAAGTGTGAGTGATGCCTCCTGAAGCATGATGATATCTTTTAGTTTATCTCCGGTTTCCAAATTTAGTGTTATGATGTTTGTCTCCTCTTACATCTTGCTTATTTATTCTTCAAAATGATGATGATTTGCCTCTTCATTGGGATCAAGGATTTTATGGCAATTTTTCTTCATATACTATATATAAAATAGGATCGGAACTTTTGATAGCCTCTTTCCCCCCTCAATTTTTCTAAGGGGTTTTTGGTTATAAACCAAAAGTTCAGCCCCCATTTACTTTAAAGCCGACATAGTTCTACATGTTTCCATTGACCCAAAATACAAAGGTTATTTGGATTAATTGCAGATAAATCCCTTGTACTATCACCCAATTGCGGATGGACCAATTATAGTTCTATTGTTGCAAATAGACCCCCTCAGGAAACCTTTTTAGACTCTTTTTACTATCAGGAGGTATATCCTAATTAATTTTAAGCTTATTTGTGGATAGACCCCCTGTATTACTACCAAATAGAACTTACTTCTCCTGTACTTCAATTATTACAGATTTTGTGGATAGACCCCCTGTATTACTACCAAATAGAACTTACTTCTCCTGTACTTCAATTATTACAGATTGGCCCTTAAATACCTTGTAGTTTCACATGATTCACATCTTTGAGAGTATTTGCATTGGTTAATGGCCAGGCAATGGTCTACTATTAAGCAAACTTTCCTGTTGCACCCATCCTTTCACATCTAATTAGAAGGGCTTAATCTCACAAATCTTCTAGATTGTCACAACTTAGAGCGAACTTATCTATGTTAATTTCATTATTATTTTCGAGTGCAAGTGGATAAAAATTTTCCACATCTGAGAAGGGCTGATCTGAGCTTTTTTTTTGTTCAATTTATTCTAACTACTGTTGCTGATAAAGAGGGGGGAGATGCAATTTTACATAGAAGTCGCAATTCTAAATTCAATCTTTCTTTCGGATCGGGAAGTACAAAAATGATAATATGCTAATGGTCTGGTGTGTACAAAAACACTTGCACACACTCATGTGTATTATATACAAGGAATATGGGTATCCTTGGACATTGGTCCTTGGTTATGAGATGATCACTTCTTATCTACACATTAAAAGGACACCCCTTGAAGATGATCCCACTTAATTACTCACCCAGTCTGGTTTAATACAATTTACAAATGCACACCTTCTATTGATTGATCACTTGTCCTACCTAATTAGAACAGAGGCATGCACTGTGGCTCCTTTATTTATTCACTTCTGTTTGTATGCACATCTTGTAAAGTGTAATATTTTATAAATTTGGTGGATTGATATATCTTCTTTTGATAATTATAGCATTTCTAAAAAAATGTCTGACATATCCAAACGGGCATTTGCTGAGCTTGCCGTTGATGGCAGCAACTACTTGACTTGGGCCTTGGATGTTGAAATCTACCTAGATTCTTGTGATTTAAGCAGCACTATTGATCCAGCTTCTCAGAGCACCTCTGCCCAGAAGGCAAAGGCATTGATTTTTCTTCGTCATCATCTCAACAAAGACCTGAAAAATGAGTACCTTACTGAAAAAGATCCTGATATTCTCTGGCAATCCCTGAAGGATCGCTTTGACCAACAGACGACTATTATGCTTCCGCAAGCACAGTATGATTGGTTGAACTTGCGATTTCAGGATTTTAAATCCGTAACTGAATACAATTCAACTCTCCACCGCATTGTCTCACAGCTGAAGCTCTGTAAGCAGAACATTACAGAAGATGAATTGATTGAAAAGACCCTCTCTACATTCCATGCAAGTAATCTTATACTCCAGCAGCAGTACAGGACCAAAAACTATTCAAAACACTCTGAATTGATCTCTGCGTTACTAGTTGCAGAGAAACACAACCAACTTCTGATGCGCAACCATAATTCTAGACCAGTTGGTTCGCAAGCTGTGCCTGAAGCACATGCCACAAATCAGAGTAATACTCATGGGCGTGGACATGGTAGAGGTCGTGGACGTGGTCGCGGGTCTTATCGTGGTGGTAGAGGTCGTGGTCATCGCAATGCTTATGGTCTTCAGGACCGTGGAAAGGGTCAGAACAAGGATAGATCTCCTTCAAACAAGCCTAACTCTCATCAACAGGTTGCTAATAACAAGCAAGCTTGCTATCGGTGTGGATGTGAGGACCACTGGTCTCGCACATGTCGTACACCGAAACATTTGGTTGAGGCCTATCAGAGAATGATGAAGGACCCAAAGGGGAAGTCAAAACAAGGTGAAAAACATCATGCTAGTTTGCCTGAAGCAAACATGGCCCTAAAAGATGACAATTATGATGATAACCTGAATCTGGACGATGATGACTTATTGAAGATGGAGCTTGATGATTTTGGTGAACAGGAGTGATCATGTTATTTATCACTATGCATGTTTTATTAGTCTATTTCGTTTTTTTTTCCAGACATGTTCTAGTTATTTTTGTTAAGATAATTTGGAATTTTTCGAGACTTATTTTGCATGTTTTTGTAAGATAATTTTAAGTTTGTATGAGTTTTGTTTAAATGATTATTCCCCTTTATCTAATACGTGGTTGTGGAGAAGTTTCCATCTTTCTCCTCAGGGTTGTACTATACATATATCCGACCTAAAATACACCATGTTGCGATGAATTTAAGATTTAGGGACCCAAATTCTTTTAAACTCTGGCATGAGCGATTGGGTCATCTTGGGCAAAATATGATCCGTCGGATTTTCTTAAATTAAATGGGGCATTCAAACTAAATCCGACCAACTGCATATCACAATTTTCCCCCTTTATCTAATACGTGGTGTAGAAGCAAAACATTTCCCATCTGCGTATTATTTATTTGCAGTCCATGTTTCTATATCACCACCATATAGCGTACCTCTATGGGACCTCGGTGAAGGTACATACATTATTTATGAAACTCCGTCAATAATTTAGTACCTATGGCCCATGTTAGGGGATCAATTTACAATTTAGTACGCTGACTGCATTATTATTGAAGATCAATTCTCGACATTAGGGGGAGATTAGTGCCCAAAATACAAAATAATGTCAAGAAATTCCATTGGTGAAAAAGATCTTCAATATTTATATCCACGTACTAGTCAAATGATTATATTATGTTCCGCAAGTTAATACATATGGCAGAAACTATGAATTTATATATGCAGTATATGTACGTCATGACCACATTTTTATATGTGTCATTAGACGCTAATATTTTTATATGAAAGTCCCTGATGGACTTAAAATTCCTGAATTAAGAGAAAACAAGAATCGCAATATGTATAGCATTAAATTGCAAAGGTCGTTATACAACTTGAAACAGTCGGGTAGAATGTGGTATAACCGACTGAGTGAGTTCCTCCTGAAGAGGAGATATGCAAATAATGATGTTTGTCCTTGTGTGTTTATAAAGAAATCCGAAAATAGCTTCTGTATCATCTTATTCTATATTGATGATATAAATGTTAGTGGAACGCACAAGGAGCTTACAGAAGTTAGCTCATGCCTAAAGACGGAGTTTGAAACGAAATAAACTTGGGAAAACCAAGTATTGTCTCGACCTGCAGATCGAGCATGTTCCTAAAGAAATACCAGTCAACCTACCTGAAGAAGGTCATAGAGAGATTTTAAAATGAATAAATCTCATGAATATAGCACACCAATGGTTGTTAAATCCCTTGAAGTGGATAAAGACCCATACAAACCTAAAGAAGATAATGAGGATATTTTAGGACCTGAAGTCCCGTATTTGAGCGCTCTATTAAAGCACTTCTTTATCTCGCAAATTGCATTATGCCTGATATTGTATTTGCGTTATACTTGCTAGCAAGAATTAGTGCATCTCCTGGAAGGAGACATTGAAATAACATTAAATATATCCTCTGATATCTTCAAAGTACAAGAGATATTTGTTTATCAAAGTATGACATTGGTGGGCAATATTCGGATGTTGATTATATGACTGATCCCTATATTGTCAAATCTCTGACTGGTCATGTTTTTCTCTGTAGTGGTACTATTTATCTTTTTGGAGGTTTATTAAGCAGGCAATGGTTAATACTTGAAACCACTCATAGATTGTTCCTCTATACGTCTCCCACGAGAATGTGTATATCGCTGATAAAACACATTCGATGATTGTGTGGCATATTAAACGAGGATATGACCCCCGATGTCCTTTCTAAGGATAATATAACTTGTGTTGCATAAATGAGATGTGGAAAATTTTTATCCACTTGCACTCGAAAATAATAATGAAATTAACATAGATAAGTTCGCTCTAAGTTGTGACAATCTAGAAGATTTGATCACCAAATCCCTTAATACATCAACTTTTAATTTTATGGTATCGTGCTTGGCCACCACGGTATGCATAGACTTAAATGTTTGTTGTCTTGAGGGGGAGCAAAATTATTTTTCAGAATAATCCTGAGATTAAGCCCTGAAGGCGGTAGCTGTACTCTTTTTCCCTTAGCTAAGTTTTTGTCCCATTGGGTTTTTCTTAGCCAAAGGTTTTTAACGAGGCAGCTAATGCTGCACAAGTTTGGATCCTGAAGATCTATAGTTGTACTCTTTTTCCCTTTGCTAAGTTTTGTCCCACAGGGTTTTCTTAGCTAAAGGTTTTAATGAGGCAACTAATGAAACACAAGAATCTACTTATGTCGTGTACTCTTTTCCTCGACTAGTTTTTCTCCCACTGGGTTTTTCTAGCGAGGTTTTTAACGAGGCATTGACATCACGAAGTAATGTCCAAGGGGGAGTGTTGAAATCTAGAAGATTAAATGAATGTGGACATTACTTGAATATGGATAATTAATTATGTGACTCTTCATTAGCCCATGACCTTTAGTCTTCTTATTATCCATCTATATAATGTATGTCATGGACTACAAATTGTAAGTGAGAAATAAAGAATGAATAAAATTACAATTTCTCTTGTCTCTTGTCTATTTCTTGTTTCATTTATTCTGTATATTACAACAGATAGGAATCAAAATATTTCAAGTATATTTTATCCTTATTCTGATCTTACTAAATAAAAGGTTAAACTTTGGGATTTTTTGCAAGTAACAACCCTAATCCTTTTCCCCACCAAACATCATCGAACTTTCTTGCGTCCCACAATACCCGCTATACTTAGGATACCCCCTAAACTTTAAAATTTTCCTAGCAAGCACCTTGACAGTACTAATGGTTGTTGTAAATAGACAAATTTATATCTTTAATTAAACTATCTACAAACACCAAGGGGCGGGCTTGCTGGGAAAAATCTTAAAGTTTATAGGGATATTGTAGAACACCCCGAAGTTCAAGGTGCTTGGTGAGAAAAGAGGTCCACAGAGTATAGAGGTAAAGCCCTCCAAATTAAATTTAAAAATTTTCGTAAATTAAACTAACCCGAAGATATATATTTGTGTATCTTCATCCATATCGTATCATATATGAATATTAGTGTGAACACCGTGCAAAACACAGTATATTTTTAGCTACAGTAATCCCGTTGTAACAACTATAAGTTTTACATTTTTTTGGATTGCTATAATATCCCGCTCTGCTACAGTATTACCGTGTGCTACAATAACTTTTTTTCAAAAAACCGCCGTGTCCATTTTCGTGTTTGTTACAGTAATAATGATACAGTAAATCTTGCTGTGGTATTTACTGTAGCATAAATAATGAATCTTGAGTTCTTCTATTTGTATAGAGGAGTAGATTTGGTACCATATTTGTATATATATGAATGTATCCGCAGATATGCATACCCTTCTGCATACCTAATTAACAGCTTATATGTTTATTCAATCCAAACAATCATCATAGTAGCTAATATGATCCATCACCATCTAATTATCAATCGAACACTCTTTTACCCAATTGCAAACTAAAGATACAAATATTGCCACTATATATACGTATAGGACGTTAGTTGCAACTGACGGGTTCATAGATTCAGCTTCTTTTTTCTATTATGGACGCTTTCTTTCCACTGTCTTCTATAATTTTGTCCTTGATGGATGAAAAACACTTTAAAATTATTAAAGTAAGAGAGAGAGTCTTGGGTAAAATTTTCTTTAAGTTGAATATTGAGTGTGCACATATATTTATACAAGTAGAGGAGAGTGATGTGTGTTCTCACAACCAATATGGGACTAAAAACCCACTACTAACACTATTATTAATACTATTATCAATAGCCCCCTCAAACTCATGTTGGATCAAACAAAATGAGTTTGCGTATAAGAAACTAAAACTAATGAACATGTAAGGCCTTTGTGAAGAAATCTGCAAGTTCGTCGGCGGATGACACATGAGAAAGTTGAATTGTCTTATCATTGATAACTTGTTGATGGACAAAATGAGCGTCGATCACAATGTGTTTGGTCCTCTCATAAAATACTGGATTATTAGCAATCTAGATGACACTCTTATTATCACAGTATAGAAGAGTAGGAGTCAAAATAGAAATACCGAAATCACTGAGAAAACGACGAAGATGAATAATCTCTTTAGCTGTTGTGGACATTGCACGATACTCTGTCTCGGTGCTGGAAAGAGCAACAACATCTTGTTTCTTACTCCGTCAGAAAATTAGGGAATCACCAAGAAATTTACAATAAGCTGTGGTAGACTTTTTGGTAATGAGATCACCAGCCTAATCAGCATTAGAATATGCACAAAGCTCTAACTTAGATGTAGCAGGAAACAGAAAAGAGCGAGTTCTAGTACCCGGAGATACCGAAGAATCCGTAATAATACAACATAGTATACAGAAGGTGAGACACTAACAAATTGACTGACAATGCCAACAACATGAGAGATATCTGGTCGAGAGATGCATAGATAGACCAACTGACCAATAAGATGTCGATATCGGGTAGGATCAGATAGAGGCTTACCATCAGTAGAGCGAAGTTTAATATTTTGTTGGAGTAGAGTATCGACAGTTAGCTCAGCTCAATCTAAAATATCCGAGAGATACTTCTGTTGAGATAGTAGTACACCCCGCGTGCCTTGAAAAATTTCTAGGCCAAGAAAATACCGAAGAGATCTAAGATCATTCATGTGGAACTGTTGTTGCAATTGAGATTTTGCGTACTGTATACCAGCTATATCATCACCTGTAATGATCATATCATCTACATAGATGAGTAATAAAACCATGACATGCGATGTAGTGCAAACAAATAAAGAAGAATCTTGATGACTTTTCATAAAGTCCGCCTTGAGCATGACATCGCAAAAACACTCAAACGAAGTGTGGGGTGCCTGCTTGAGACCATAAATAGCACGGCGAATGAGACATACATGTCTCGGAGGAATATTAGACCTTGGAGGCGGTTGCATATATACTGTCTCAAATAAAAAGCCATGGAGAAAAGTATTTTTGACATATATCTGGTATAACGGCCAACGATGAGCAGCAATGACCGCAAGAAGAGTACGAACGGTAGACATCTGAGCAATAGGAGCAAATATCTTCTCATAATCAATACCTTGTTGCTGAGTAAAACATCGAGCCACTAAACAAGCTTTTTGATGTTCAATGGTG